AGAAAAAATAATGATAAGAGTTTATAAAAAGTTTAAAAAAGTAGGTGATAATTAATTTTTTTTAATTTCAATTTAAATAATTATAGATGGATAATTAATCTAGTTTCTAAGACCTTTTTTTTTTACCAAACATATATATAAAAATGAGAGATCTTACTTGAATTGACATTTTATGAACTAATTAAGCAATTCACTCGCCTGAGCGCAAAATAGGCAAAATTTCTAAGATTTTCTAGTTGAATCATGACCTATGTACTAATTTCTAATTTCAAAATGTGACGAGCCTATACTCGCCAATGCAAGATGCTTATGACCAGAACTGACCTGAATTTATTTTGTCGGATGTCACAGTAGCATGAGAAGAGGGAGTAAGAGGAGCACCTGTGGCATGTAGCAGATGAGACACACTGCGATGAAGTGTGCCTTGAAGACCAGAATCTGACTCAACACGGCGACTAACATCGGCTAACATAAACCTGTCCGATTCTGTGAACTGACTGGTACCCAAGTCGACAGATATTTTCTGAGGCTCCCTGTCTAAGAACAACTTGGATATTTGCATCTGTGCATCCACCTATGAGTGTAAATCAGCCAGAGACTGAAGAATGGCCTGATTTGTGGCAGCCTGATTGTTCGAGCGAGCACGAAGATCAGCTACATCTTGGGAGATACTAGACTAGGAATCTGATAGAGCAGTCATGCGAGCAGTAAGATAATCAATCGTGTCTCTAAGAGTGGTAAAAGCAAGGCCATGATCTTGTAAGGCGACACTATGCTGACGCATCTCAAAGGTAATGCTAGAGGCAAAGAAGTCCAATCTCCTAGATAAATCATTGCTAAAAGAGTCCTGTTGAGAAAGGAGCAGCTGGCACTGAGATGAGAAACCCCAAAACATGTCTACCACCTCAGTAGATAGAGCATATATCACCTCAGGAGGTGAGGGAGTGGAGAACTGAAAGCGCTGTGTAGGAGGGGGTCTTGAAGGAGAAACAACAGTTGGAGTTGGTGAGCAAGCTTTGATTGGGCTTGCTGACTTACCCAGAGAGGAACCATCAACACTTTCAGTATCATTGGCGCCTTGAGAGTCACCGATGGGAGTATCACTGATGTCGGCGTGAGGCTCAACATATGTATCAGCGATATCGGTGTGAGGCTCAAAATTTGTATCAGCAACACTGGCGAGAGGCTCAGTGTCTGTATCACCAACACCTGCAAGAGGCTCGATGTCTGTATCATCGACGCTGCGTGAGGCGGGTCGCTGATTACCACTGTAGTAGAGATAGTAGGCTGGTAAGGCTCACCAGTCACATCCATAAGAAGATAATGGAGAAAAGGGATGTCATTATCTGGCGGTGCTGAGAAATCATCCATCCATGCAATATCATCAAGATCATCGATCTCGGGTGATAGGCCATGAGCATGTGGAGGAGATGAAAGACCTCGGAAAGTGGAGGTATCCGAGTCATCACCAAGGTCATGTAGAGACGCCAAGGTGGAGTGATGTGGGATCCTCGTATGTACAACAATGTCCTGTTGAGAGGGCACTGAGGAGCTAGGGGTGTATAACAGATGTCCTAGGCGTAGTAGGACCAACTTCAACAACCTTGGATTGTTGAGAGTCCTTCGTTGGAGATGTGTTTTTAGCCCCTTTTGGCTTCTTGGTCTTCTTAGAGAAAGATCCAAGAGTGGATAATATAGAGTGACTCTGTTTTGAGTGAGAGGGTTGAGAGGTGGGGTGAGACTCCGAAGGCCCTTTCGAAGTCATAGCCTCAGAAGCAGATGTAGAGGATGAGGGAACAAAGTTATCTGCCATCCGTCTCCGGACAGAGGAGGCGACCTCTTTTGAGGCAATAGCTGAAGAAGTAGAGGAAGGAGGGACCACAGACAATGGAGGAAAGTTGGGTGATCGAAGCAAAATGAGGAAGGTCCCCAGCTACCATGGTCACATATCACTCTCCCCATACAGGGTGAGAAGAGGTGGCAAAAGAAACCATACCTAATGGAAGAGGAAGATCAGTAGATAAGGATGCCTTCTTCAAAGTCTGAAAGCCAACTTGAGACACTTTAAGGTCATAGAAATTATCAATAGCAGCAGGCATACGTGATCCAAGTATTTCAGCAATCAGCATGGATAAAAATATGATGAATGGCACAATAGAACATTTGGCACTACCCATCTTCTACCAACTCCCCAAAAAAATAACCAGCAAAGTTAATTTTATTTTGGAAAATAAGTGCATGAGCTAGCTGGGTGACTTAAGTGGGTGACTGATCCATTCCTCCCGTTTTGGAACTCAAACACTGAATAAGATGAGAGAAGAAAAAGTTCCATATACCACCCATATTTTTTCTATAAATAGTATTGTGGTTTTTCATAGCGGGGTCTTGCACATATCCCATAGTGGAAACAACAACATGAAGATTATCAATAGACACAATATCATCATAAGAGGAGTAAGCAGGAAGATCCAACACTCTTCTTAGATCATCAACAATAAATAATACATCATTATCAGATAAAACAGTTGCATGCACAACTTTAGTAGAGGCATCATATATACAACAAGTGGCCCAAAAAGCACATCTTGGGAGAATAGGTAAAAGTTTTGAAGAGAGGGCACTTACGTAAAAATTCGGTGATGATGTAGAAATCCAGATACTTGTCAGTGTGATCCAACAATATTACATATTTATTTGTTTGAACTTTAGATTTTTTGGATTTTAGACCCAAACGCTGCTTCATTATTATATTTATATATGTTTTTTTTTAAGTTTAATGTTTAAAGTCCATTAAAGACCCAAACCACTTAAACCGGTCAAACCAGACCACCTTTTTGTGGTCTGGTTTGACCGGTCTGGGCACTTGATTTCAAACCGCTCGGTTTAAAATTTTCATGAACCGCCATTACGGTTTGGTTTGTGGTCTGAGGGGTTAAACCGCTCAAACCGGACCGCAAGCACCCCTACTTATTATAATTCGGGCAAACCACTCATTCTATTGGTTCTCAATTTTTTGGAGACTAATATTGAAAAAAGGCAAAACCAATGCCAACTCTTGTTTAATACCTCACCAACTACTCAGTTATCTCTCAAAAGATAATTACTTCAATAACACTTGGGACACACAACTCATAATCTGTCGGTTTTTCATTCGGAGATTATTGATATTGAAGAAAGAAGGATATATGTATGTCCCCCTTTCAAATTTCTTTGATCATATCGAGTCTGATAAATTTGTGTAGTCCACATAACTTTATCAATTTGAGCTTATTTTGAAGCATTTGTTGCTTTATCTTTCTACAATGCACAAATCTTACAAAATATTTGTTGTTCTGTCATAACATTCAGATATATGCTTTTTCAAGCTATCAATGATTGAATGGAAGTCCTAGTGAGATGAACCTCAAGTATCAAACGAAAGAACCAAGTTTGAAGAAGCTTGAGTATCTTTCGCTGGTGTCGAAGGTTTGTACGGAGCTTGAATCACACTTAGGGTTTGGGGATAAAGTTTTGGCGGAGTTTATTACCGAGTTAATCGAAAGTGACATTGTGGATGAATTTGATAGTAAGTTGAAAGAAAATGGGGAGAAGATGCCTGATTACTTATTTGTTAACCATAATTCACGCGATTTTGCCCCCGAAAACGAAGTCCAAATTTGATAAGGAGGCTAGTAAGAAGGATGATAATAGGCAGAAGTCGAGTTTTTCGGCATTGAATATTGGAGACAGTAAGGACGGGTTGAAGGAGTTGGAGAGGGAGATTGAGATGGAAGCCAGAGAGAGGAGAAAGAGAGATGGGGAGGTCGACAATGATAATGGGAAGGATCATTGGGATAGAGATATGGATAGGAGTAGAGGAAGGGATAAAGATGTGGATATGAGGGTTTTAGGAATCGACCATGAAGAAGAGGAGGAGGGTTTTTAGGAATCTATTAGGAAGAAGAGGACGAATGTGCGATTGAGGGTGATTGAGGGTTTACGAACAGTCAAGCAAGGATTTAAGAAGAGCAGAAGGGGTTTAGAAATCGATCAGGAAGAAGTAAAGATTTTTTTCTAATTTAAAAATTGTTTTTAAATTATATTTTTTCTTTTAAATGACATGTAAACTATCCCATGTGCAACAAGTTATTCTATATGGCTTCCATGTCATTTTAAGTTTGACACGTCAACAAAGAAAAACCTGTTCAAAAGGTAACAGGTTATCCAATGCTCTAACGGATAAATTTTTTGAAAGTATGATGCTCTAATAAAAAACATTTTGAAAGTACATTGCTGTAATAAGAAAAACTAAAAGTAGAATGCTATAATAAGGAAATTTGTAAAAGTAGGTTGCTATTTTGTACATTTTGTCCTATTTTATTTTAGTTGAGTTTTACATTAATTTCAATATAAGCATCTCCCTCTTCCTCTCTCTTCTTCTCTTTCCCTCTTCTCTTCTTCTCCTTTTCTTCTTTCTCTCCTTTTCCCTCTTTTCTCGTCTTTTTTTTTTGTCTCCCTCTTTCTTTCCCCTCGGGGTGCCTTGGATTCTGGTAGTTGAGGTTTTCTCCTACCCGAACGCTTCATTGTTGCTGTTTTAGCGTTTTAGTGTTTTATCTTGATCTGGAGAAGTCTCCCCCTCCCTATCAAAAAATTAGATAAAAATAGAGGAAACTCCAAACTTAAAAACTTATCTAAAACTCGATGGATAGAGATAATTTTTATTTATTTATTTGTATTGTTATTATTTTAAATAATATATAGTAATTATAGATTTATAGAATATTTTAATAATAACAATTAGGGGGTGTTTGAGATTGCTTATAAAAACAACTTATTGGCTTATTCCGGTATGACACCGGTAATAAACACTTTTGAGTATTTTGATAAACAACTTATACCTGTGATAAACCGATAATAAATGTTTTTGAAGAAATTAAAACTTTCTGATTTATAATAAGTTGATAAGTGCATATATAAAAAAACATAAATTATTTTAAATAAATAATCCCAAACACCCAATTAATATAGTAAAAGAAAATTTGTTATGATATTTTATATCTAGTAAAATGAAATCCACATTTTGTATGATCTATGATGGCTCTTCTTGTCATCAAGTGTGGTGCATGTGATTCCCACTAGGGTTTCATTCTCTGCGTTGCTTTCTTGATTCAATCCTGTCCCAGCCGCGGTAAACACTCTCCAAATTACACTCAGAAAAGCGATAACCTGTTGAAATCCCCTTGTCCAACTGAAATTCTTCAAGTCAGGCGCCGGACGTCAAAGTCTTACGTCACCTTATCTTGCGATCTTCATTACTGAGCTACAGCTATTAGAATTTCTCTTTGCTTGGCTCGATTCATTTCTAATCTATATGTATAGTCGATTCATGGGTTGTTTCTGATGTTATTTCTCTAGTGGGTGTCTAACTGGCTGTGTAATGCCCTCCAGGTGGAAGTGGAACAGTAAGTTTGAACCCTTTCTTTTAGCAATTACTTACATTACAATGTTCTCAGTTTTGGAAAGTCTTCGTACATTTAGATGGTATCTATGCCTAATTAATTGCAAAATTTGATTCTATAGGAGCATTTATAAAAGCCTTTTTTCTTTATTAACCTGGATATCCAACCCACTAATCCCAGAGCAATTCCAGGGCAACCATCTGCTTTGCAGATAGCTCAGAGTCACCGTATTTGAACCTCAGCCACAAAGGGATTTTTATTCCTCCTTGGATTTGAACCTGAACCTCTGGTACTTTTGACCTTTGGAGCCAAGCTCAAACCAATCGGACACCACCTTGTGGTTTATAAAAGCCCTTTGAGCACTAGTGAAATGTTTTCCCATCAAAGTGGAATCTGGTGTATGATCAATAATTTTACAACGGATAAACATGTCTTCTTCGCTCGAAAAATTGTCCAAAGAGAATATTTGCCATCAAACCAAAAATCCCAAAATGGGAATTGTTGAGATTTTCATGGGGTGCACCAGATTTTATACTATAATCTTGGCACAAATTTGGTTTGGTGATATATTTTTATTTCTTATAGCAGCTAATATGTATGTTTGAAGCTTTGAATTCCATTTAAGTGGACATTTTTTTAATGTGAGGAATGAAATAGTGATATTTGGGACTATTGCAGCCTCTTTATAATTATTTGACTTTTATAGAATTTTCCATGACAGGATTGAATAGAGACTACAAACATGGGTGTTTCCGGAAAGTGGATTAGATCACTCCTTGGTATCAAGAAACCAGAGAAGTCACAACCTTCAGAAAAAGATGAAAATGTTAGTGAGTTCATATCATTTTGTTTTTTCAGACAGAAACTTAGTTAGATTACTTCTGTTTTGAGATTTGTTGCTGCCACTTTCTTGTTGTCTTAACGAAAAATATAATGGGCAGTGAAAAATGTACGTTTAAATCTGGCAGCATGCTGCGAGTCTCTTTCTCACCGCCCCCTCACATTATTTTTACGTAACCAGCATATGGATATTTGGAGTTTTGCCTTCTCAAGCTTCAGCTTCTTTTATTGCTTTCGTTGCCTTCTGTTTAGCTCATCTCTATTTCTCCTTAGTGTCGATATTCTTACAATGATATAAGAGGCTAGAGCTTCCTCTCTTTTCCTTAGTAGTCTTTTGACTTTCTTTTTCCACTAGTAAGGTAGCCTTTGAAACTGGACTGGACATGACTGGACAAAACTAGACCGAATCTATACTATATTATATAGCATTTGACAAAAATTCTTAAAAACAATTTTTTATGCATAAAGTACTGTTTATTGATGCATATTACTTAAAATTCAAGATTACAAGTAGAAAGTACATGGGTACATCTTATTAAAGCTCTATGTTTGAATTTGTATGACAAACTGCAGATAAACATAATCAAATACATGATAAACATCATTTTGAATATAAAAAATCTAAAATATAATAAGATAATCATTGAATTCTAACAGAATACTTAATTATTATCTTAAAAATTATTTTATTAACTCGAAAATAAATTAGTTCGTTATTAAATTTCAATTAAATTATAATAAAAAATTGAATTAAAGAAATTACACAAAAACGAACTTTTAAATAGTTAATTTTATACTAATATCCCTTTCTTTTTCAAAATTTTATAATTTTTTCAAATTTATATTTCATTCAAAAATAAAAACATTTTTCTTTTTCTCAAAACCACATAGAATCGTATTATAACATCGATAGAGTCAAAATATAAAAAGAAACATTAAAATCAAGATGTATCTTGCTGCATTGTGCGAGTACCCTTCTAGTAGTACTTGGATAGGACAAGAGAACCTGATAGCACTTGACATTGACAGGACATGACTAGACAATGTCTGTTTGGTGTTTGGTATACTGATTGCATTTCTTTTCTTTAGTTTGATGTATATTTCCCCTCAATTTTCTTATCCTCCTTTGCCACCTATGAATGCACATTACCCTTCTTTTTACATCATGTTAAAATCCCTTTGATATTTCAAAACCCTTCTATGATTTCACAGTCATAGGTTTCACCACCTAGACCTTGTTTTTGGCTATATAACAACCGAATTCCATCCCCTACTAAAGCTAATGTTTATGCCACTTTACAATTTATTCGCAATACTTGATCCCCTTTCTTAGTGCAAACAAAGCCTACATGGCTAGAGTACTTGACCGAAGTTACTAGGTGAGCATCATTGATCACAAGGGAGTTTTGAGAACCATATAAACGTAGTCGGCTGAGATTTCTTCATCATCTTATTACTATAGGAGAATCTTTTAGGAATCTTTCAAACCTACTTTCTAAACCAACATGAACATTAAGGTCTTAAAAGACTTGTTGCAAATTGGTATCACCCAAACTGCTTCTCCTAGGTCATGCCAATCAACATTTAACTAAGGAAATATTGTACATCAAGATGTGTAGATTATGGAAAATCTAATTCATCTAGTGACAAATATAAAATAGAAAAAGTTGAAAGAGTTTAAAAATCATTATTCATATGGAATTAAATAAAAAAACCATGAATCTGTGCTACTTGTACGTCTTTAGAGTTCAAAAAACAAAATAAATAATATAATGAATTGCAAGTGGTCCCTGGGCTTATTCCTAACTTTTACTTGTGGTCCTCTGAAAAGAATTGTAAAACATAAAAAAAAATGAACAAGATGATGAAACGTTTATGTGTGTGCTAGTAACCATGATCTATATGTTTATTTTGTGTGTGACATGATGGTAACTACTGCATATTACTTGCCATTTATGATTATAGATGGTATGCTGAGATAAAGGAAAGAGTGAATGATAAAGAACATAGAGTTGCAGGACAAATTAGTATAACCAATACGTAATAGTTTCATTGGATAGTTAGTTAGTTGTAGTCATAGTTTTAAAAGGCAGGATCAAGCCTTGAGGCGTTTTCCCTCGATGAGGCGAGGCGTAAGCCCTGAGGCGGTCCAATGGCGTAAGCCTCGAGGCGGAGATATATACATATACACACACACATATATGTATAATATACTACACAAATATATATACCTTTTGCAAAAAAATATACACCAATCTTTATTCCACTGTCACATTATACACATAAAACATATGCAATATATATACATACATAGACTGGGGTACTTGACACAAAATATACATCTCACACTAAATGACTAAAAGAAATAATCTATATACACTTTTTTCAATGATGAATATAGATATAGTAACAAATAAAAATTATATTGATCTATTAACAATATATATATTAAATATTAATATGCTCACAGCTGATGAGTCATAAACAATTTTTTTGATATATCAACAAAGTAGGAGTTAGAAGTGGGAACAGTGACACGTGGAAGATTTGTAGGGACTTTTTTTTAGAGATAATACAAATATTCAGCTAGTAAATATAAGATGTGTCAAAGATATGTTAAAGTCAAGGCATCTGGTTGTTAAAGTGGAGGCATACGCCTCAATGGTGCTCATCGCCTCACAGCCTCATGCACCGCCTTGACTATACAAGGCATACAATTCAAACATAGAGTGAAAGGCGGTGCCTCAGAAGCGGTTTTATGCCGCCTTACCTCAAGGCGCATGCCTTAGATGATTTTGAAAACCATGGTTGTAGTGTCATCCCACCCTCTCCTGGTCCTGGATGCATTTGTTGCAGTCTAATTATTATTAGAATATGAAGCTCCAAGATAATTGCAATCCCACCCTCAGTTTACCATGTTATATGCATCTAGCTTTTACGGGATCTGAGTTGGTCTTTTGGGATGTACCACTTGGTCCCTTATCTAGAGCAATGATTAGTAGATACTCATTTCACTTCATTCATGAATGTTCCACATATCTATTTTGTGCTATTTCAGAACTTTTTAAAAGACTAGTATACTCGCAAACTTTTTGAAAGAGCTTGAAAAAAAAGGTTGCGTTATATTTATATGCACCTGGACAATTTTTTTTTTCCTGTTATCATTTATCAATTTGGTTCACTACTTATAGTGTGTGATTAAAGGATCAAGTGTGTCAAGTTCTTATAGTTGAATACTTTTTTGGTGAATTGATTTCTTAAAGCATAAAGACCAAACTGCTCAAAAGCAGGATCTCAGAGGGGTGGGATGTACACAGTCCTGACCTCTACCCTCAAAGGAAGGACACATATTAAGCAAGATTAGCACATATTAAGCACTAGAAAAGAAGGAAAACAGAAAAAGGCTCAAAGAAAATATATACAAAGTAATAAGAAACACATCCTCCATCTAGTGCATGCCTCAGATACCCTTTGTCCTACCCTCACCCAGTCGCCCTCCCTAACTCCCTAGTTATGCACACTAGCTAGAGGTTCCTACCTTAAATCTACTACCCTAGTCCTGCATTTCCAAGGACATGATTTCTTAAAACATGTCCTTGTCGTTTAAAGACTGACTTAGCCATATCCTACATGTTTTGTGTTTGTTGTCCAATCTGTTTGCATGTGGTTTCCTACTGAAGTCATGGACCAAACATGGCAAGGCTATGAGAGCTTACATTTATCTTTAGCCAATATTTTTTTTAACTTTTTTGGTATTAACAATTTAAACCATCTTTCTACATATCATATTCTAGTTGTCTACTAGTATTCTAGTGGTCTCTTCATTACATAGTAGAAAGTGATGTTTGACATTTAATCTCATAATGTAAAGTGCAATATTTGAACATTTACATACACTTATATATATATATATATATATATATATATATATGTAATAGCTTGTACAAACAGTTTCAGGCAACAAATACTAGAAAGTTTCGGCACCGGAGAAAGAATTCTGTAGAGATCACAGACAACATTTTTCAAAACAAGCTCAATCAGAATCCTGCTGACCTGGTTGAAGATGGCCATAGCAGTTCAGTCCCAGCTGTTATTGATTCCCCTTCCGTTTCACTTCAAATGCAAGATTCATCTCAAAACAAACTGCGCCCCAGAGAAGAGCAGGCAGCTATACGAATCCAAACTGCTTTCCGAGGAATTTTGGTACCAAAGCTAAACCACTATGCATTGTTCCTTTTATGTTTCTGTAATATTATCCCAAATTATTTTCAAGCATCATTTATTAAAGATGTCTAGGCTGGTTTTAACAACAACAAATAAATCTCTAGTGTCAAAATCTGTTAGTTAAGTTAGTTAGTACTTGTATTTTGTTATTAGTTGAGCTATTAATAACACAAGATCTTATTTGGTTAGATCCTCCTAATTAAATATGTTTGTCATTGAGCTCTTGAAGCTGGTTGAGATGTGTGAGAAAAGCTTTATTTCAACTTGAATACAATGTACATATTTATATACAACAAGTTTGTAACGGCCCCTGATTTACCTCTAAAAATAATATAAATTCTATCTAATAAAAGAGAGAATCAACAATTATGAAACTAATCCCAAAGAATCTACTTATACAAATTATATGTATTCCCTAGCTTGATTTCCTACACTCCCGCTCAAGCTAAGGATATATGTTCTCTAAACCAAGTAAGGTACTTAGTTGAGTGAGATTGGGCTAAAGTTGTTAAAGGCTCAAGGTGCACTTAGGCGCAAACGGGTCCCGGGGACTAAGCGTGAGGCGCAGGCATGAAATGCAGGCCTCAGGAATGCAAGGTGCGTCTTATCAATATATATATATATATATATATATACAAACACACACATACACAGTTACACACAACTCAAATATGCAACAAGTAAAAGCCCCCAATGCATCAATCAACAACACTTTAATAGGGTTTAAAGCGGGAGCCGTGAAGGAGAAGTTGTAAGGTTTGGGTATTCATAGAGAAGATGGCTTGAAGTTCTACGGACTTGGAATTTAATATTAGTGTTTGACTTACATCATCTATTTAATAACTCTTAAAAAAACAGAAGATGAGAAGCTAAGAAAACTTATTTAATATTAGGGTTTGACTAGGTATTTAATAACCCTTTATGAGGCGCAGGCCTTTAATCAGCCTCGTGCATATGTTGAGCCCTGATTTTAAAAAAGCACAAGACCTTGAGCCTTATGAGCCTCAGAGCCTAGGCTCAAGCGTGCTTTTAATAACTATGGATTGGGCCGAAACAAAGCTTTAGTCAGAATGTCAGCCACTTGCCGCTTGGATGGAACATGTGTGAGTGAGATTGTCTTGTTTCGACCTTCTCATAGATGAAGTGTCCATCAATCTCCACATGCGTGGTACGACCATGCCAGATTGGATTTTTGGCAATTGCAATTGCTGATTGGTTGTCACACATGATCCTGATAGAGTCTGAGATTCCAACCTTAAATTCTTTTATTAATTGTTATAACCAAATTCCTTCATAATGCTAGGACTAAAGTTTCGAACTATGCCTCGACAGTGCTTTGTGCTACCACCAGTTGTTTCTTGCTATGCTTTGTCACGAGATTTCCCCAAATGAATAAGCAGTATCCAAATGTGGATCTTCCATTATACAGGGATCCACCCTAGTTTGCATCGATATAGACATCGAATGTCCGATCGACAGATTTTCTAAACATGAGTCCTTTCTTTGGATCTTTCTTCAGATATCTTAGAATGTGGTTCATAGCCTTCAAATGATCTATTGATAGGTTGCTAATAAATTGACTGACAATACTGACAACAAAACTTATAACAGGACATGTGTGAGTTAGATATATCAACTTACCTACCAACCGCTGTTTATGCACCTTATCAGTTGTCGGTTCATCTGTCCGAGGCCTTAGCTTGGTATTACGGTCCACAAGGGTCTCAATTGGTTTGCACCCGATCATGCCAGTCTCAAGTAAGAGGTCGAGCACATACTTGCTTTGGGAGATTGAGATGCCTTGACAAATCCTTGCTACTTTCATTCTTGGAAAATATTTTAGAAAGCCATGTCTTCAATCTCAAACTCTTTGCATAGTAGCCTTTTAAGTCTCCTCATTTTTTCTTGATGGTTCCTACTTCCTTGTAAGAACTATGTTGTCAACGTATACTATTAGGGCTGTGATTCTCCCATCTGTGAAGTGTTTGACAAACAACGTATGATATGCTTGTGTTTGGGAGTATCCGTCATTTTTAACGACTTTGATGAATATGTCAGACCAAGCTCTAGGGACTGTTAAGTCCATATAATGCTTTCTTCAGCTTGCAATTCTTTCCATGGTTCTCTTTGTTCTCAAATCCATACAGGATGTCCATATAGACTTTCTCGATCAGATCTCCGTTCAAGAAGGTGTTCTTGACATCAAGCTGGAATAACGACCAATCTTGATTAAATGCGATGGACAATAGAACACGAATTGCGTTAAGCTTGCCTACAGGAGCAAAGGTTTCTTGATAATCAATTCCATATGATTAAACCCCTTAGCCACTAGACGGGCTTTGTATTTGTCTCCCATCTGCTTTTTGTTTAACTGACAAAATCCATTTGCAACCCACTGTCAGGTGTCATTCCTTTGAAGAGCATTATACTATTCTAAGGTTGCTTCACTCCATTTCTGAATCCTTAGAGCCTCATAAACCGAGTTGGGTATCGTGATCTTCTCTAGGGATGCCATAAATGCCCAAAATTATGGAGACAAATTTTTGTAAGAGATTAGCTACAAAGGGGATGTTGGGTGCATAATCTTACCTCTTTTCTTTGGGCAATAGGGAGATCCAATGTAGGATCACAAGTTGAACTTGCGTGTGAATCATAAATTTCTTCATCTTGTATGCTTTCTTGCTTAGCTTGGCCCTGGGAAGTTGACTTTGCTGATTTCTTAAAGTCATGTCTGGATTTTTCCTTCTTGTATAAACTTTGACCACATCATCGAAAAGAAGAAGGTGTTCAGGATAGACATTGGGTGACTGATCGAGTATAGAATTTGATTGAGAGCCACGAGATTGAGGCACAGGGTGGGTCAGTCAAGTCTGGATTCGGACAGGTTGGAGTACTAGAGTTATTTGATAGAGGAGATAAGGTGGAGTGAACTTGAGTATTTGATGGATGAGATAAGGTGTAGTGAACTTGGGTTGGTGAATCCGAGTTCATGAGGTATGTCTAGTCCCAATTATGAAATTCATGTATGTTATTCTCCCCCTAAATTACATTATAGAATTGGGGTAGAATGGAATATTTTAGAAAAAGGTAACATCCATGGTATCATAGAACTTACGGGTGGTAGGAGAGATGCACTTGTAGCTCTTTTGATTGGCTGAATATCCAAGAAGGATAAATTTAAGTGCACGGGCATAAAGTTTACCACGATATTAAGGGTGGATATGCACAAATGCAGTGCAACCAAACAACTTGAAAGGAACTTGTGACACAAGATGAGAGGTAGGAAATAGACCTTTGAATTTTTGCAATGGTGAGCTAAAGTCAAGGAATCGAGAGGGCATGCGATTGATTAGGTATGTTGTGGTGAGAATGGCTTCACCCCAGAATCTCGTAGGAACATTACCTTGGAAAAGTAAAGATCAGGCAACCTCAAGGATGTGACGGTTTTACGTTATGCCACACCATTTTGTTGTCGGGTGTGGGCACATGAACCTTGTTGGACAACACCATGAGATTGGAGATTGAAACCAAGACTAGAATTGAAGACGTCTTGGGCATTATCAATTTTTAGAGTTTGAATTTGAGAATTGAATTGATTTTGAACCATGACATGGAAGTGCTGAAATATATGTTTGGTTTCAGATTTGTCTTTCATAAAATGCCCAACACAATCTAGTATGGTCATCAGCTAATTATAAAAACCATCTAGCACCGGGTTATGCTTAAAATACGGAATGACCCCCAAATGTCACCATGGACAAGGGAGAAAGGGCAACTCTGTTTGTATGATCGTGGTGAGTATGTATTACGGGTATGCTTGGCCATTTGACAAAATCTCACATTGAAATAACTTGGAGTTTTATTGATGAAGAGAGACGGGAACAAACGTTTCAAATATGAAAAATTGGGGTGACCTAGACGAAAGTGCCACATCATGATTTCACTCTTTATTAGAATGACCAGAAGACTTAAAACTACTCAACGAATTATGATGACTGACCAAATGAGTTGAAGGAGTGTTGACATCAAGAACATTACGACCCGCATGCACATAAGCATTGCTGATTGTTTTCCCCAAGCTCGAGTCCTGAAATATACAAGAATCAGGAAGGAGTTTAGTTGCAAAATTTAAGTCACTAGTCAGTTTGCTAACTGATATGAGATCACACTCAAGTTCTGGCTCAAATAAACACTCATTTGAGTGTAAGGGTTGCTGAAAGTTTAACGATTCTTGTTCCAACCACTTTGGTGCGTGTACCATTGGCAATACATATGGCTTGGAGGTTGGTACAAGGAGAATAAGTTGAGAAAAGTGATCCTGCCATGTGGTTGGATGCACCTGAGGCAACAATCCAGGACGAGGAGGATAATTTTGTGGTATGAAGTGCAGTGCTGTTGGAGCTTTGAACTGGGTTGTTCTCTAAGGTAGTTGAGCCAAGACGAGATTTGAAGGAGTCTTGGGAACGGAAGTGGACGAATCCTTGGATAAGCGACTTGATTCCCCCATGAAGAGAGGTTTCGAGAGATAGGGGTGAGCAGATTAAAGAAGACATAATGCTTGAGAGAGTAGGATTTCTAACCTACAACCCTGATACCATGAAGCTGGTTGAGATGTGTGTGAAAAGATTTTTTTCAACTTGAATATAATGTACATATATATACAAAAAAATCCATAACGGCCCCTATAAATTAGCCTCTAAAAGATAATACAGATTCTATCTAATAAAAAGAGAATCAACAATTATGAAACTAATCCCTAGGAATCAGTTTATGCAAATTATATGATTCCCTAGCTTGATTTCCTACAGCTCCCTCTCAGACTTGCCACCTCTTCGTCTCCTTCAATCCTATTTTTGTTGAGGGGATCGATAATTTTCTATTTTTCTTCACACTTGTCTTATAGATTTCTTACTGGAATTCTCATCCATGCACCTTGCCAAATGAAATTGCTTAGAATCATCGACAATAACTGTTGATCGATGTGCTGTTTTTTTTCCCTCAGTTGTAATATGTGATGAGCGTTTGTCAACTTTCTTTTGTTATTGCTAAAATTTTCTCAATTGTAATATACTAAAAAATTCACAAAATTTTGTTTGCTATTTGTTAGTTGTAATTCACGAAAATAAAGTAAAAAGAAAATATGCACTATGATAAAGTACTAACTTTAATTAAACTATGCTTGGTCTAAATTTCTATTTAGCAACATTGTCTTTTTCGCATCCAAAGTTACCAATTTTTTTTTTAATATCATTGGTGCATATATTTGAGTAAACGGTATTGCTTTTTGCAGCCAGATGAATATAATCTGAAATAACACATATTCAAATATCAAGTTCAGTTGAGAAGTCGAACTGTATTTTCCATCCAATATTAAATAAAAACAAGGGCTCGAGTAACTTCCCTCCTGCTCTTTTTTGTTTCGGGTATCAGCAGGGGCGGATCCAAAATTTGGTACCTTTGAATGTGAAAAAGATAATGGTTGTTAAATACAACTTTAGACCAAGCATAGAAGTTTAGACCAAGCGTGGTTTAGTTAAAATTAATACTCAATTTTTGGTCTAAACATCTGTTTTGATAGACCAGTTAAACATTTCTAGATCCGCCACTGGCTATTAGGATGTTGATTGGTTGTAGGTATTCATCCATCACCTATTATAAATTTAATGAAATAATTTATCATTTTCTCAAAGTTGATATATTCACCTATGAGAACCATATGTTTTCTATTGGCACTTGGCAGTTTTTGCCTTTTAAGCCAAGGTCTGAATATATATTCTATAGAATATTAGAATGTGACTGTAGGAGTACAACCAGCATACGAATGGACAGGGGCCGACCTACTAAGGACCGAGCAGGATCCCGTGCCTCCGCTCACTTGATTATAGCAAGAGAAAAAAAATTAGGCGTCGTAAAAGTGCACCCGCTTGATTTTGAGAGTGCCTGGAAATATTTTAAAACCACTTGTATAACAAAAATCTAAGTTGAGTGGGATGGTCTTGGTTTGTTGAAATAAGCCGCCTACTACAAGGAGATCTTGGGTTCATTTCCTACTTGTAGCAAATATGTAGTTTTTTGGTTAACTTCTATTCTCACTCTTACCTTTTCCAATCCTAAATCACTTTCGGATAATCTATTAATTTGATCTTCATTCCCAAATTTGTTCCACTTTTTGTTGATTAACTATATCCTCACGTTCTCTTGTAAAGTATCATGTTCTTAATAATTAACTTTCCTTGAAATTACGAGTTTCTTCTTTTTCTTGGTTCGTTTGTATTTTGTAATTTGCTTCCCATGCAGTTAATAGCACACTATAGCGACACTATAGTGGTTAGCGATTCTGGACTAAATAGCGGTTTAGGAATTGCGGTCTATTATAGCGCACCTGCAAATAGCGGCCGCTGTTACCGCTATTTTGATACTAAATAGCGGTCCGCTATTACTGCTTTTTTTGGCCTGTTGTAGGCTCCTTTTTTTGACTAAATTTTAAACGATTATTTTGGGCTTTTTTGTGCGCTATTTAGAGTCAAGCTGCAAACAAAAAGAAAAAAGACTAAAATAAACAAAAGAAACAATTAAATTGAGTCAAACTTTGTATCGATTCCAACTTCCAAGTCCAAAGCTCTGCTCAAAGTGCCCATCGATTCCAACTCCAGTCTCGATTCCTAACTGTTCATCTTTGATTCTCCCTATGGTTCACATCTTTGATTCTCTTGGCTGTTGAAAACTAACAGCTACAAGTTACAATCAGGTATGGACCGTATGGTTTCTATTTCTGTCCCTACTCCCTAATTCGGTCCCTAATTTAGTACAATAACTATGTTTCTGACTTTGTTCAGTACTTCAGTTTGTTGTTTAACCATTTGATTTTGGGTTTAGCTTTGTTAATTTGGAGTTGAAGATGAAGAGGAAGAAGGGGGAGATGGGGATGATGACATAAATGAAAGAGTGGATGTACTCAATGATGTGGATTCAGATGCCGAGCCTGTGGATTGCAGTTAGCTCATTTAGTTGTTTATGAGCTTTATAAACTCTTACTACTATGTTGCTTGTGTGGTTTGAATTGGTTGACTTGATATGTAGCGCATACAAGATTTTATATGAGCATATTTTTTTTACAGCTATATCACAACGATGACCGCTATTTCAAATCAAGGTCCCAACCACTATTTCCGCTATCGACCGCGTTAACTGCTTAGTTTGCTTTTAGTTAATAATTTAATAATTGTTGACATCTTAGATGCATAAGGAAGCGAAATAAGATGCATAGTTAATTTTGATTTGCAAAACATCTTATCTAATACTAGGAGTTCTAGATGCATAATGAAACGTAATTGAACTTGGAAAAAAACATAGGACAATCAATATCAAGTACCAAAAATTGGAAATTTTTTATGAAATCAACCAAAAAACCAAATAAGTTCCCTATAGCAGCCATGGAATTCAGCTAACAACATGGCCTAAGACGTAGTCTTGTGTTTTACTCAAAAGGTCAAAGTCGATTCAATTTGAAAAAAATGTATTTTTCCTGAAATCAACATAATTGGTTTTCCCATCGGATCAAACTGCATCGACTTTTTCCTCAGATCAAACCCACGACTTGTGGGCCTTTGATCCACCTTAAAGGTGCACCCGCTCAAGAAAATTCTTGGTCCGCCACTGGCAATGGAGATATTTTAAATCTTTTTATGCCCGTGATTTAAAGAAAATCGATTACAATGATCTTGAGTTGTTAGTTAGGCTAAATAAAATGATAAGTTTCTCTAAGATATGTGCAATACGAGAATACTCTAAAAGTAAATCTGATAATAATATCCTACAAGTTGATAGACCAGTTAAAATTCTGTTAAGACAGATAAATTGGTAGAGTGAAAAGAGAACACAAAAGCCTGTGAAGCCAGGCAAATTAAAACAAATTGCAGAAAAATCACTTAAGATGGTATAAATACTTAACCACCGATGAATGTTCAATGTCACTAGTAATGTGCTAGAGAGGTAGAAAAAACCAAAAGGAACTGAAGAAGAGTTGATGTTATTGGCTCAAGTAGTATTCACAAAGATTAATTTTTGCCTGTGTTTTGTTCATTTTGAAGTTAAAAGTGTAACCCATGTTTTAAATGTTAGTTGGAGCCTTAGAAACTGGTATGGTGAAATGCTCCCCTAGTTTTTTGTACATATGTTCAAAATATTATTTTGCTAAATATTGGTTGAGTGACTATCTGCACCTTATAAATGCTTTTTCATCATCATGCATTCACCTTCTAACAACCATTTTGGTTAGTTCTTCAGTTGACATGATAGATAACCTAAAATATACTTGTTATAATATTCAGGCTAGGCGGGCCCTACGAGCTCTCAAAGGATTGGTCAGACTACAAGCTCTTGTTAGGGGACATGCTGTGAGAAAGCAAGCTGCAATAACTCTTCGTTGTATGCAAGCATTAGTGAGGGTTCAGGCTCGTGTTAGAGCTAGGCGTGTTCGCCTCGCATTGGAAGGCCAATCGGAACAACAACAACTTCAACATGAGGCTCAGGTTCGAGAAATAGAGGTAAGCCTGCAATTCTACAATTTCAATCAAGCATAGGTGCTTCTTTTAATGACATGACCAAAAACCTATAACATTGAAAGAAATCTTCAATGATACAAACATAATAGAGACACCAAAGGGTCTTTGGTCTAGTAGTATCCGGGTTACCAGTATAGCTCAGGGGCTCGAACCTCGCCAAAGGTGAGTACGGCGTTTGAGCTCATATACGGTATATAGATATTATATAATTAAAACAGAACATAATAGGGGACGACCTTATGACACATATCAAGCACATGATTCCCAATTGTGTAAATTGCAACTCTGCTTTCCCTTCATCCAAACAGTTGTGTAAATTGCAACCCTGCTGTTCTTTCATTCAAACTTTGATCTAAAACTGTTGAAGGTTGCTTCTACGTGATTTCTGGCAGCAAATAGCATTGACAAATAGTTATCATATAATATAAAAGCTGATTCAAATAAATTAGTCACTAGTCAGGTCCAAAAGTGTTTTGGATGATGTTTTACCGAATCTCTATTAATCTAAAGAGATCTGTATAAAACAAATTCATCTTAAGAGTGAATTTTTTGAATGTTACAATGCATTGATTGTATGCCTGGATATATATATATATATATATATATATATATATACATTGTGCTAATATCTGTGTTTTCTACCTTCTGTTGCTTTTTTTGTCTTTGCCTCTCGTTCTTTCTTCTTTGACAGGAAGGATGGTGTGATAGTGTTGGTTCTGTTGAAGAAATTCAAGCGAAGTTGATAAAGAGGCAGGAGGCTGCGGCCAAACGTGAGAGAGCCATGGCATATGCTCTTTCTCACCAGGTAATGTTGAATATCATATTCTTTCATAATCATAAAAATGATAACTTCAAAATTTTCCTTTCCTCCATATTCAATTTAACTTGTGATTTTCGTTCACATCAAGGCTTTTATTAAGGGTCTTAAGATGCTAAGTTGTCCAATTTCAATTATAGGTAGATACATCAACTACATTGAATCAGTTTGTGATATCTTTCACATTAAGTCTTTTATGAAGGACCTTAAGATGCCAAGTTATCTGACTTCAGTAACAGATAGATATATCAATTACATATGTTGCAACTCATTGTCTTAATGAGGGTCTTAAGAATCTTTTTGATGTGTACTACGGAAAGTGAATAGTACATTCAGAAGAACAGTACTTATGTATGTATGACAATTCTATGTACATATCTGGGCATCTATATGAAAATATGGGACTCAATTTAGTACCCAAATTTTGTTAGACAATACAAGAAGAAATAATCGAAAATGACCCAATGAGCAAAAAAAAAAGTGAAATTTCAATGAAGACTTAAAGTTAAATGTTCATTGGAATAAGTTATTACTATACATCTAAGAGTACTCAAGTTTGATGATTGTAATAAGTCTGTGCTCTTTGAAGGTGCTTTTCTAAAACTTTGGCTGCCTGATTCCAAAACAAGCCGTCACAATGCCTAGCCAATAAGTTGTAATAGGCAGTGATAGATAACTCTCCTTGACGTAAATCATGGAGTGTGCTTTCGATGGCAAACAATTCTGCTGTGTTGTCGTTGCTGGAATATGTATCTCAGGCAGCCTCATATTTATTGAGCCGCAGAGTAGAGAAGAAAGTTTTCCCCTATTTCTAGGGTCATAGAGTTAATCAGCCATGCCATCACCATGCTGTTTTCTGATTTCTAGTTCTTGAAACTGGCTCATCAGATTTAGCAGCAGGAACAGCCCCAGTGAAGTGATCTTCCTTTCCTCGACCATGTATGTATATCATGATCGATTGAGACCATTGAAGGAAATTATGGCCATTTAGTTTATAACTAGTAATTGGAAGGAAACTCTGAGAGTTTCTAGAGGATTTAGATGAGAAGCCTTTGAGTTTGGAGATGACTTCTGAGTGGTTTTAGGAAGAGGATTCTGTGCCAGTCATAATGATATTTAGGAAGGTGAGAGGGCAACAATACCAAGGGGATGTTGGAGCTTACCGTTGTTGCTTAATTGCTGTTGTGATTGAAACACAGCAGCAAGAGGAGAGTAGTCTGGGATCAGAGATGCTCTGATACCATGTGGAATTCTTTTTTATTTCACTTGTCTTCAAAGAGGGAGGTACAAAGGCTATATATACACAAAAAATATGAGAAGAAAAGGAAAAGATTCCTGAGATATTCATAACAATTAATTACAAAGAGACATTACCCATTATCTCCAATTCCTATTTTACAATGATATTGAGTATCTTTAAGGATATTKAGTATCTTTAAGGATACCGAGTATCTCTAAGGATACTGAATATTTCTACAGTTTGTGCCATAGCGTAATAGTAGGACTTGAACTTGGAAAGATAAACACATGTTTCTTTCTTTGAAATCTATATGAAACTACTCTCAACAACTCATTCCAAGCCATGGAATGTATTAGCATCTTCCATGATTGACATCTAGAAGTATGCTTGTGGTCAATAAATGGAACACCTCGTCTAGGTGTACCTTCAATACACCTCGTCTAGGTGTACCTTCAATACACCTCAAGGTTTGTACCAATGCTTCTCCATGACTAGTATGATGGGAAGACATTAGGGCTTAATGAGTGTGACCATTTTTCTGTCTAGTTCATGTAGAAGCTTAACCATCTCAATAAAGTTTGATCTTTAGGATGATTGGAGAAGCTTATACCAACTTTCAATCATGCTAAGATTGGTAAAGATGTATACCAAACCAATAGACCCAATAAATCCCACTCGAAAATATGGTCTTTAGGGGCGGGGTGAGATGTATGCGGACCTGACCTCTAACCCAACACGTTAGAGTGGCTGTTTGCATGAACAATCTAGTAATTTTGGTATAGTATCAAAATTAATATGGTTAATATGAGGCATGTGAGAGTGGAATAGTTGAAGGTGGAACCGTGTCTCATTGGAGCCATAGTTAGTACTTAGACATTGTCACAATATGGTGTCCATATCTTGTTAGGATCCCTAGTTAGTAGTTAGACATTGAAGGTGGAAGGAATCAACACAATTGAATGGTTAGGAGTGACAAAGGAGGGCCTGAAAACATGATGGACTTTCAGAGATGAGGCTTTTTGGCGAAGCCAAGTCAGAATAGGGTGTTCGTATCTCATTAGGCATACAAGAGAAAGTATGTTTTTCTTTGTACTAGGCAATGGGAATGCATCTTATGTTACTGAAAGTAAAAAGGTTTGTAAAAATGGTAGTGTCAGGAGCTTGAATAGTGTGCCTCTTGCACCTATAGCATACATGAAGACGGAGGTAAATCTCGAATTGGATTCTAAATTGACGGGTTAGTGTGAGCTTATCCATGCGGTTATGCACTCTTCGAATAGGAATCCATCTTCTGAAAGATCCTGGCTTTCGTGCTTTGGTGGGTCTCCGAGATCCTTTCGATGACCTATGTTGTTGAAGGGATTTCTATATAATCCGATCGATTGCATAAACCCGCGGTAGCAGCGGAACTGGGGAAAGTATACAGAAAAGACAATTATTTTCTATTTAATTCATATTAGATTAGTCTTAGTTAGTGATCCCGACTTAGTGAGTCCTTTCTTTCGTGATGAACTGTTGATGCCAGTCCTACATTTTGTCTCTGAGGACCGAGGAGAAAGGGGGCTTGGCGGGAAGAGGATTGTACCGTGAGAGAAGCAAGGAGGTCAACGTCTTTCAAATATACAACATGGATTCTGGCAATGCAATGTAGTGGGACTCTCATGTCGATCCGAATGAATCATCCTTTCCAGGGAGGCAAATCTTCGCCCGTTAGGTAAGAGGATAGCAAGCAATAAGTAACCTCCACAATGATAGGCTTTATAGGAGGAACATGAGTAACCTTGATCAGCATTTGGTTGCTAAGAAATAATACTAGGAAAGTCCACCCTACTATATTGAATAAGATAGAAAAACCATGAGCAACAAAAACAATTCSCAAATGCTGAAACTACAACACTAATAACACTTTTGAGGCTTACAATACCGAAMAAATATGCCACTGGTTTGCTTTGGTCACAACATGAAAGGAATCTTGTGCASAAGAACAGAAAAAAGGATCAACATGAAATTGGGAGCCACTGAAAATAAGAGGGATTATGTATATATGCCCATTTGAAATAATAGAAAATTAGAAGGTATGCAAATAAYCAAGTACCTTGCAATCACAACTATATCTCCACGACTGCTGAGGTGCATTCTGATGAATCAACATTGTACGAGTAACCTCTATGAGATCTCCATTTATGCTTTCTCTGATTGCATTTTGCTGAGGGCTAGATGTAGCATTCCAGCTGTATTCATAAACCTGGTGTCGCAGGAGAGATGCTCATTCACATTACTCTACGAGGGGTTGTGACCACAAGTGCGAATTGGATATTCGTTCCTTAAACTCAACGATTTTAAATGGGTTGTGTAGTCTTCATTTTTAAAACCAGCCTCAAGTGTGAAGAGAAGCCTTCATTTGGCTAAGGATTCACAAATTGAGGATTAGTATGCTAATGATAATGGTATTTGTATGGGTCGGTGAAGTGCTATCAACAATATTTTGTAAACTTCCATGAATTACTATTCCACCACGAAAGACAATTATCATACTCCTAACGTTGCTCAAGGAGTAAGGGAGATCTTCCATCTCTCTTGCCTACAACAATTCAGCAGACCTATTCACGTTACGAACTACAGGATATAAGAATCATGGAATATCCCTTGCTCCAATAAGATCAATGTTGAATTACATTTTTTGTAGCTATAAGATTAAATCACAATGTTAACATTTGCTTATTTGTTGCAGTGGCAGGCAGGATCTAGACAACAAACATCTCCATCTGGATTTGGACCAGATAAAACTAATTGGGGTTGGAACTGGTTGGAGAGATGGATGGCTGTTCGTCCATGGGAGAATCGTTTCCTCGACATTAATACGAGAGATGGACTGAAGATTCAGGAGAATGGTTCTGCTAAACAAGAGCAAGAGCAAGAGCCCAACATCAGGAACCAGTTAAAATCTGCTGGCAAGAAATCCATTGCTTCAAACCTTCAATTAGAATTTCCAAATGAGAAAATGGGGCAATCTCATTCTGATGGCTCTGGTTCTGACCCTATCAAGTCAACTAGCATGCAAGAAGCACCTGCSACGGTGTGTATTGATCCAACGTCTAACGCATTTCTTGCTGATTCAGTYGGTGAGCTGAGATTGAGACCTGGTGTGGGGTCAAGATCCCACAGCAATCCAAGAGAGAGATCCTCAATCTTGGGTAATCAGGGAAAGAAGCGACAGTCGCTGCCTAGTAGTGGTTAGTCCATCTCTCTCTCTCTCATGGGGAACCAGAAACTAAACCCTAAACCTCTTAGGCTATGTTTGGCAAACTAGCTAGCTTAAACTAGTCATGTTCGGTAAAAACTAGCCGATGACCTAAAAAGACATTGAAAAATTAGTTGGAAAAATACAAGAGGTGTGATTGGAAAAAGTGAAAATGGAGCTTATTGAGATGCTACTAGAAGTAGCTTTTAAAAAAGCTAGCTTATGGCTAACCAAACGAGGTTTTTCCAATAACCTCAAAAAATAAGCTAGCTTATGGTTGCCAAACATGCCTTAACATCTAGAGTAGAGGGGGCTGCTTATGGACGAGTATCACATTAACAGGTTACTGTATATTCTGAAATTTACTAATGGTCCTAATGAAGTTCCTTAGTATATTTGCAACCAATAAAATATGTGAAGATAGTTTTTATAATAACTATTGAATTTTATTCACTCTGAATAAATACGTCCTCAATGAAGCCTTTTCTTTTAAAACTTCTTGGGGGCTAAATGGTGCCCTTAAGAAATTGTAAACGCTATTAAACTAAATAAAACAGATTGGATGTGATTATATCCATATACTCATCAACTTGTATCTGGTACGGATATGGATATATCTGTTTCTACTGGATACTGGTTCTTGTGTTGTATGCATTTATTTAATATAGAACATATTGCATAACTGCCCAGCGAATGTAGTTTTTGCTTAATTTTCAAAAAGATAACATTAATACAATGTACATCCACAGCTCCTTTAATTCGAATATTATGTGGATACCTATTGAACCACAATCTACCGTATTTTACCTGGGACTCCTTGATTCATTTTGGTTTTAGTATCCCTAGATCTAAACCAGACCAAACAATCTCATTTTATCACATTAGGGGGTGGGGGTGGGATCTAGCATTGTGTAGTAAACCAATGGTGCATTGTCAAATTTTGCTTACTACTCTAGCGTCTAAACCATGTAAGACAGGTCTCTCCTGTTTACATGTGGCAGTAAAACTGTCCACTGTAGTATTCATGGGCATCATGGGTAGATTGCACTAACATTAAACTTAGCAGTTCCAATAAAAGGCTCTTAGATGGTGTTTGATAAAACTGAATGAATATGTGATGAATGATTAAGAATTCCAACTGTTTTAGAGGTTCTGTATAGAATTAATGTTGAATGAAAAATGATTTTTTGATAAATGTTCTGTATGGAACATAAGATGCGTTGGAATGGGTGTGTTGGTTTGGCGTTTTCGGAATACTGTACTAATGAATGCATTTGTGTTAGTTAAAACAGGCATAGCTTAACAATCATCAAACACCATCAAAATATTTAGACCCGTATCAATATAATCCATCAAAATACTTGTTGAACTCTTGATGGGATAAAWAGCACGTAATAATTTMTATARCCGTACGTATAAAATGTCCAAGTATTTGAAGTGATGCCTTTTCTTTTTTTGGATTTTAAAGTCTTGAAAGAATAATTTAAGACAACAACCAGAACACTGGAACTGCACCAAATTTAGCTAAGCCATGTCTAGGTTATCTTGTTTCGTTTTTAACATATGGATGTGCATCCAGTGTTGAACTGTGTGTATAACAGTTGGCCTCATGTATCCTGGTAGCCTCTTTCAGTTTTAAGGCTAGGCAGGGTTATAGTCTTTTGACACTTCTCTTGTGCAAAAGGGTTTTTAAACGGCATCTCAAGCGCCTCATTGCATATCAGGTACACAGCCGCCTGCTAAGAGCCGAGTGCCCACAAGGAGCCCAATCCTTAAAAGGAATTGTGACTCCCACGCTATGGTTGAGGCTGGAGCACTCGCCAGTTTGTGCTTGCCGTTGGGCCATTGGTGTCATTTCTGTGTGCATCTTAGGAAAAGAAAAGGACTGAAAATGCGGATCTTACAAGCTCAGTTTATTTTTTTGGATTTAAACAGGCAAAACAGGGCAAGGTGTTGGGAGTCAAATGGCTAGACAACCTGGTAAATGTGCTACAAAAACAAGCACTTGACTAGCAGCAGCCGAACGACACTTCAGACCATGCATAGTCCTCCCAATCGGCTCAGGAACTCAACAATCACTGCAATTTCAGACGTTTGTGTATACACGGGCAGCTCATGCACTCAGGAGTTATTGATCATGTTGTCGGAGAAGTGAAAGAAAATGATTGGATTTATTTGGGAATGTTGTAATTATCAGTTGTCGTTATTTTGTAACTAGCAATAATCATTGTTGTTATATCGATGATGGAGTATGTGGGAGAAAACTTCTGTACAATGTGGAAAGACATGATGTGTATTGTAAGATGTCATTCAAATCAAAATATGCAAACTCCATATTTGTACAAATTATGTAAATCATCTTCATCCATCGATTTTATTGTTTAATTTTATGAAATATTTTAATGAAATTATTTAATCTTAAAAAATTGTTTCGTATAATATTTTTTTGATGAAACTGTTTTATATATGGTTATGAAATTGTTTTGTATTACTTGTGAAATTTTAATGAAACTGTTTCATTCATATCTTTTTTATTAATATAATGAAGATGATAATATTCATGATTAACACTCTCCACAATAAAATTGATTAATCAACCATTCATAAATACAAAAAGAAAATGAATAAAATAAAAAATTATGATTGGTTGAATGAGGTTTGTATGATTTGTACAAATAATGTGGTTTGTAAAGTAAACCTCCTCTATATATATACATACATATACATACATACATACATACATACATACATACGTGTATATATATATATATAGAGGAGTGATCAAATAAAAACCGCCCTCATTTGTGTAAACCGTGCAAACCACCTTCATCCGTTGATTTCATTGTTTAATCTTATGAAATTTTTTCATGAAATTGTTTAATCTTGTGAAATTGTTTCATATAATACTTTTTTTGATCAAGTTGTTTCATATAT